CACTATCGTAGCGATACGATTTTTCCACCGGTTGTTTTACTTCTCGCCCGCCATGACTGGCAACGCCAAAGACAGTAGTTTAAATCACAGGATCAGCTTCCAACGTAGTGTTATTTTGCGATCTTTAGTGGACCGGCGCTTTTGCGCATATCCACTCACCTTCCTCCAGAATGAAATCCCGCTCCTCAGGAGCTACTATATTTCTTCCACATGCTGAAGGAGGAGACAAGGAGAAAGAAGGAGAAATGGGGAGTTTTATCGGTATTTTGGTACCTCATAGATATCAGGCAGGGCTATGGGCAATTGGTGTTGGCTGGCAGTATTTGTTCCTTCATGTAAATTAGATTCTGGGTGGAATCGGAATTTGTCGCGACGAAACCGCGATTACTGGAAATAATGTCAATGTTAGTGAAAAAGCGTGGAAGTCGTTGGGCTGGATGGATGGATGGATGGAAGGATGGCTGGGTAGGTGGATGGGTAAACGATTGTTCAACAAGAGATATGTCCTTTAAATTTTCTTCCAATTTCTGTCAAAATTTTGACCTACCGATAGATTTTTTAATGTTTTCTCATCATTAGATTAAATTTGGATGTTTGTAAGAGCAAATTAGTCCTTTTCCAGGCAATAAACAGCTCTAAAGACAACAGATTTAAATATCTTCTTTTGGGTGGGGGATACTGCCCAATTCCGTTGCTATTAAAATTCTGTGGATGTTTAACTAGAGCAGTCATCGGTCCAATCCTCCAAAATGACAAATTCACTCAGTTTTTACCAAATGACTTCAGTTGTTGGCTTTCAAGCATACCCAGTCAGACCTGATTCCGTAACAGTAGCGGTAGTAGTAGTCAATCAAAAACCAGAAAACAAAGCTGAAGTAATTGTCAAAAGTTGACTACACCTGAAAGGTTACAAAGCCCTCCCTTCCCTTCCAGAGACCAAATTTGCTGTCACTTTTGTGCCACACACTCAGACCGCAGATTGTCATGGATTTGGACTTAATCTCCACGACCTCATTTGCAATAGCGCCTCACACACAGCGAGAAATAGCACCCGCGTCACACAGAAGTGCAACAACGTAGGTGATTTGCGACTCTCTCACCGACTGCGTATTTTGACGTAGTCTATAAAATCACCCTCCTCAAGTTGAAGTCGTAAACAGAAACGCAAGCCTCATGGCCTGTGGGTGTGGCTGTGGTTGTTGTGGTGACAACTGTTGCGGTTTCAATTGTGGATGCGGGTGTTGTGGTCGCTGGTACGTTGTCTGAGCTTGATTTTTCCCTCCTACATCCACATCTATCATAATGATTTTGACACCTTACTGGCCGATTAGTGTGCGTCCACCTGTACGGAGTCAACAATCAGCATGTAGGAGGCGTTTTTTAGGTTTTTCGTTTTAAAGATGGCACTTTCGACACTTCAAAATACACATCTATGCTCTTACTATTTAATTCTGCTGTGTTTATGTCATAATGCCTAGGTCGAATGTCAACCGAATTTGACTAATCTGTCCCTTCGTTAGCCGGCAATTACTAAGTTTCAAACCAAATGTTAAAAAATTCAATTGTTTAATGGTCTTTACTTGTGTCTAAGCTGTTCACAATTGTTATTTCTGTCATTTTTGGACATCATCCTCCTGATTTCACCTGCTTTGTCCATGGTTCGGTAATTTCGGAGCGCTCCCTTCGGTACCGATTTCTCCACTCGAATTGTTTCCCTGTCAACTTTTTCTTGCTTTCGGGAGGGAAATAATTGCTTTGAAAAATCGAATCTCTTTGCCCACTATGGAATGCTTTTTTGTGGATTTTGTGTCTCCACTTTCCACTAAATTTGCTCGGTTTAGGCTAAATTATGTTTATTTGAGAACCGTTAACCTCTAATTTCGGAGTGTCAAAATAGCTTATTGGACAAAAACCGTTAAAAATGAACGGTGTTTTGAAGCTAGATGCATTTGAAAAGCTGCTCAGAACTTAAGAAGAAGGAGACTTTTTCGCCTCGAATCAATTTGTTTCCTTTCACTAGTCACTTCTTCCGCCAATTAATTCTGAGAGTGCATGGCATTAATTAAAAACAATTAAATAAGTTAAATATTTGAGTGATTTTTCTAACTATAGCCTTAGAAACTTTTGCCAGCTTTTAGAAAGAAATTGGTTGTAGAGACATGCCTCGTCACCGAGTAGTGTGTCCTCCAATCCACTCTTTAGGATCCACCACTTGTTATTCCTGGGCTGTTCTAAAATTGTGACTTCTTTTTTTTGCATTTCAGACTTAAAAACGCTTTGACTATGTCTTACTTTATGTCAGCAGATGTGACAAAAAGAGTGATTTGTGCGGAAAATAATTTTTCCATCCTTTCGAGAGAATATTTTTGGATCGGCTGGTTCCAGAGGAAAATTTCCCATTATAAAGAAACTTCTGACCCACGCACTATTAAACGGAAACTGTAAATAAGGTAGCTGGGTTTATATTGATGTAGTGAGGTAATCTTTTCTTTGGCCACTACTGTCACTTTATTTGTTCGGTTGTCATAATATTTGACATCAAGGTGCTTGGGCAATGCTAAATGTCGGGTGAAGATTTTTATCGCCTTCTAAATTGCCCAGAAAGGAGAATAGAAATAAAAAAGATTCACTTTTGCCCTTCATATTTCAACATCAGTTTGATGGCGGTGGTGCCAGCAGGATTTTAATACTTCCATCGATTTTCTGTCGGAGTATTACTTCCTAGGCTCTCAGTGGTATATTTGCGCGTCTTTTTCAGGGGCCGAGGTTGTGGTGGTTGTAATCTGGACAACTACTCCTACGACGTTGGACCCGGTTGGCATGGCTGTGGTTATCAAGGTGGACATCCCTCCTATTGTGGATGTGCAGGCTGCGGACAAGGTGGTCGTGGTGTATTCTGGTGACACGGATTGATTAATTGATTGCTCAATTAGTATCGCAGTTCTTTTGGCGTCAAATATATCTTCCTTTTCCCATCCTCCTCTTGCCCTCTTTCTCACTTGTTCGTTCACTTGTAAAAGATGAATTACCGCCACGGTGACCAATTACAAGCGACTTCAGGAGGCCGATCGATATCCTAATTTTTGTGTCAGTCATCATTATGACAACCATTTCCCAAATAGCATTGCATTAGACTTCTGGTGGGAAGTTCCTCTGCTCTCATCGCTTTTAGTCCAGTGCTAAGGCCTCGTTTTAAATCTCAAGGTGACTGACACTAAAAATAGCTCCAAAAGCACGCCCATTCAATAGTCTCGTAAACAAGGCAGTGATTAAGGTGAATAAAGCATCACCTCAAGGTTGCGTACTCGTGGACGGGTAGGCAACCAATGGGCGGCGGGCAAACTGCAGTCAGAAAGGTAGCAGCGCCTCCTTGCCGGCCGGCAAATCGCCGTCCACCGAATTGCAGGCCTGGACTTTGTCTTTTCTGGCCTAGATATTGGATAAGCCTCGTCCCAACTTTGCACAGAAAGCTATTTTGCATTTTAAGAAACAATCTCACTTTCCATGGCAGCGCAAAATTTGACAAAGTCCTAAAGCAACGGTTTTAGAGGGCTAGAGAGTATCGGTGTTGCAACATCCTACAGAATTCGGAGGTGAAAAAGGCTTCGCATTCACCCTCACAACCGGGAAGTGGTAAAAAGCATATTGCAAGAAAGTAAATTAAAGGATGCGTGGAGGATGCTTTGAGCTAGTATGGCGTTCATTTTCGGCGGAGGAAGGGGTTCCAGAAGCTGCTCCCATCACCCACGTTAACGACAACAATGGAATTCGTTAATTTCCACTCCTCTGTCAGAGTTTGCTAGAAAATCAGAGAATGTAACGTGTTTTTCGATTCGACACAAGATGATCATTTTATGGTCTTCTCGCACACCCAATAGGCATATTTCCCCTCTCCCTCTCTTTCTCGCTTTCTCTTTCCCTTCCTCTTACCCTCTCGCAAAACGAATTTTATTAAGTGGATTAGCACGAGCCCCAGGGTTTTAAAACACCAGTCTTGCCAGCTGACTCATCAGGCAGCTAGCAGCTCTGCCTTCCAGAATTGGGGACACAAAGAGCTCTGTCTCATCACGTATGCAATTTCCGCCTGTTCCGTCTTCGAGACGAAGCAGGCAAGAAGAGGGGTGTAAAAAACCTCGACCTCACTACTCAACACTGCTGTAATGGCGCAGAGGAGTTGAACCAATATGGCACAGCAGACGAATTAATCACGTCTTTATAGAATTAAGAAAACTGGATTCATTGAAGAATTTTAAGTGGGTCTCTAGTTGTGGAATACCCTTGAGAATGTAAAAACTGGTAATGAAGGCTAAGGAAGCGAGCAGCTGTAAATTAAACCACTCAAAACCGGGTTGTTGAAGCACTGGCATAAAACTCGGACTCTTCGTTTGAGGCTAATTAACCTCTTGCAAAAAGACATGGGGTCGGAGTTATTTTATTGCATTTCTGTCGATGCAATAAAATTCACACTTTTAACATGATGACTTTTTAATTTCCAACCATTAATTCATGAGTTGGGGGGGTGTTTGGGTTTTCTGTGTTTGCCATCTTTCATACGTGGGAATTGCGTCCGAGGTGAGAGATTTGAGCTCCGCGTAGAGATTTAAACGAGTTTTTGGCAATGCTGCTTTTCCCATATGAGCTGGCCTCATAACACGAAGTAAGATTCAATTAATTTTTTTACCCCACCGTTTTCATCGATTTTATCGATTTGCTCAGCAATCTACCACCATGCTATTGCATTCTGTCAATTTGCAGTGCAATTAAAGTCGATAAAATCAGTGTAAACGGTGGAGTGGAAAATCGATTGAGTTCTACTGTTAAGTCAGCCCATATGGGAATAGCAAGTGCGCACTGAAGAGAAATAAAGTTTTTAAATGCTAATTAAGAGATAAATACCAAGTTTCTTTCTAAAATTTTATGTCCCTCTTAGCCTTCAAAGTATGTCTGATACAAAATAGAAAAGATCTGATATTTTCATCAATGACAATAATAGTATTTATTTGTTTTAAAAGGAATTTGTTATTCTAGCGTTTTGTCGGCTTGTTGTGGAACATTAAAAAAACAAAAAAATGGAAATAATAATGACTAGATAGTCAATTTATTTGCTCGTCCCACTATTTACACACACCTTAAGTCGATTTCAAGCTCGCCACGAAGCGACTAAAAGACAGCTAAATTTAGTCGATAAATTGCGTCGAATTTTTGTTATTGGCTAAGTTGGATGTGACAACGAATGCCGTAAAGAGAAATAAAACTTTTCAGTAAAACCTAAAAAATAAATGGCAAATGTCTCTCTGAAATTGACACCTATTTGAAAAGGCTTTTTGTAAATATTTATTTCAAAAAGAAATTATTTGCTTCAGAACTTTCGTTTATTATACGATATGGAAAGTTCAAAGGGTACAGGAAATAAAAATTCGAGGAATTGGCGTAAGTAAAATATTGCCTGGATGGTCAAGGCGATAAGTGTCGGAAGCATTAAAATTGTAAATGTCTGGAACGCATACCAATCCGTGTCGGACTAGCTAAATACATTCTGAGCAAAACTTTTGTATGTCATTAGGGCAAATGAGGATTATTAAAAATTAAAGGAGATAATAGACGACATTTTTATATAAGAAGCAAAGAAAAAGGAAGGTAGGTTCAGTGCTGCAGGACACACAAAAAGTAGAGAAAATGGCAAATGGATCCGTGTACGCTTTCAGACAGCCGTTTGCTTCCGTATAATAACACAAAATTATCCTCATTTATCCAACCCCATCGTTGTAATCGAAACCGGCTCAGCGATTAGGCGAAGGAAGAAAGAATTGTGGATCTAAAATTATCCTCACTTTCTTTGCATTGATGTTGTATAACGCAAAATCATCTCCTGATTTAAATGAGTGGCATTGATTTTTATGCGCACTTAACGACGCGGACACTCCTATTTATGAGGATTTTACCACCTTCGGCTTAGTGTAATACCCTTCTGGACCATTTGCACCTTAGCAACAAGTTAGTCGCCTACGCTGGTGCACGATTTCCCGATTTTGCCTGGCACTGCTAAGGTAGCATACTTTAGCCGTATTTGAGTAATATGTTCTTAACAAAATAAATTTGTTGGCACTATGGGAGTTTTTTAAATGAATTCACAAATAATTTGCTTAAGTCGCTCCATTTTTAAAATTGTTCTGTCGCGAAGCTGGTGCAACAATGCAAATCCCGTGAAGAGCCAGTGTGGGTGTGATTAACTAATGATTGCACAAACAAACAAATGAATGTCGCATACTTTAGTCGTTGACACATCAGACCTCCGCGCCCACGGCGGAAGTCAAGGTTCGCCATCATATATCACCCATAAGTCACGTGAGCATCTACTGCACCCCTATGAACCGAATCGTGTGTCCCATACTGTCCCTGAACATCTAGAGTGTCTAGGTGACTTCAAGGAATAATTTACTGCGGCTGAAAGAAACCCCATCTACCAGTCTGGCCATTAGTTGTGTAAATGGTCAAACTACTGTAAAAAAAATGTCTTTTTCCCATACAAGGGCTTGTAAAAATGCATTAAAATGGATGTGCGAAAAGCTGGGGGAGGGGCGTGGGGAGGGATCGCATGAATGCGACACGCAATCTTGCAGCTGAAATATGCGTCCACTCAATTTTTTCATTATTTGTCCTCATCTATCCCACCACCCAATCTATCTACTCACCTACGTATTCTACCCTTCACTCCATTCGTAATCTGCCCATCCATCCATCTATCAATTGCATGGATCGGGATAGAGCAATTGAGCAGTTTTCATTTGAAAGAATGCAAACAATTTACTTTTTATTTTTGCCTGACTGTGAAAGCCCTCTACCTAATGCATTAGTAACTGCCACTACGGGTAGACGATTCCGTCTAGGCTTTTTAAATTAATCCCATTCAAAGTCACCAAAAGCGTCCATTTGACATCCTTGGAGCGTAATACCTCACCCATCAAACAAATTGGAAGTTCTCTAAACATCTATCGGGCTTACATTACCCCCCTTGTTCTTAAGGGTAATAACAAAGCCCTCCATTTGAAACCATCACAAAGTCTCTCCAGTTTAACCTCCGAATATGCGAGTTGACATGGGTGAAACTAATTAATTAATGTATTCTCGGTTTGTGTTTGGGCCACTTAGAGCTCCGCCTAGTGGCGTCGTCTCCGGGTCATGTCAGTAGCTTCCAAGCCCTTCTGTACGTCGGCAATACATATTATGCCCCAGTGTCATTCCTCCTTTCTTCTTCAGGGAAGTCTTGGGGAGCTAAAGCTCAACCAAACTCACCTTTAGTCGTCGGCACTAATTTGTGCTTGAAGCTCGGTGAGGGCATTAGAAGCCTCCAATTCTGCGAAGGCAGTCGATTTTCGCTTTTTTCTTAGTTAAGCAAACCTAAAGGCCTGGAAAGGAGTCTCTCAATCATTGAAAACTTGGAAGTTCTTGAAACCCTTCTTGGGTCATTTAAGACCGCGTTAAAGGCGGTTTTTTGAATAGGCGCTGCTGAATTTAGCCGTAGTAGTAAAGCACGCCCCTTAAAACAATCACAACGCCGAAACAGTTTAATCTCCAAAGAATGCGTTTTTGCAACGCAGACTTTCGTTAGTAGGGAAAAGTCTGATTAGCTTTCCATTGAGGACCGACTCTCTTAAAAGTTGACAATAAAAAGTCCAATCAAATCACGTTTTGACAAGAGAGGATTCTTTTACAATGGGATGCTTGATATTTTTTTAGCTTTGTGGAAGAATGGGTGAGGTAAGGTGGATAAAATAATTTCATTTCCGTTAGTATTGTTCATGGCGACGGTAAAACAGCCTGACGTTCTTGTTATTTTGGAATGATTTCGCCTTTCAAAATTAGGTAATTGTGCATCGAAAGTTATATAGGATGTCCCAAAACTTATCCATCGC